GAAATGCGGGAGAAACTCAGCCCAGAACACATCCCTTGTTTTTGCCAGTTTGGACCAAGCCTCTCTCCGAGAATGTTCGGCTTGCCGAACCGGAGACAGGCTTGCTCCGAACCTAGACGAGTCGTAGCATCTGCATTCGCGCATGCCACGAGCCACATCATCGCTTGGCCCCCCACCCGCCGCTCATGAAGACCTGCTAAGCGAGGAAATGCGCAGCATCAGCAGGCACTCTACACCCGCGCCCGTAACGAGGGACACAGGAAAAAAGAACGACGAAGGAGAAATAGGCTAAGAGTACCTCTGTACTCACCCGCACAAGGAGCGCAGGATCTGCAAAACGGGCGCGTCAGCACGCGCGGGCGCTTGAAAGAAGGGGAGGGGAGGGAGACGTACCGCTCACTGCGAATCACCTCCGTTCGCCCACCCGCCATCTAGTCCATATCCCGCGCACGCGCCCTTCACATTGCATCGCATCCCGCCCACTCCGACTCGAGCTCACCCAGCCTGCACCGTAGAATGAGGATAGCGCCTGCGCGCGCCGCTGCTCGCCTCGTCGTAGTCCGGCCCCGCGCCCCGCGCGAGTTGCTTCCATACTGGCACTGCATCTCCTCCGGATCCTCCCTCTGCTCCATCGCGCGCCTCCGCACCGATCCCTCACGCGGGCCCGTCCAGTCCAGCGCCCACCGCAGGTCACCCGCACCGACTGCACACGGACCCGCGCGCGACTCGCAACCGGCGGACTCGCAACGCATGCACCGCGGTCTTGCGCCCCAGCGGCGCCAGCTTCTCCGCAGAGTGCGGGCTGCGGCCACTCTCCGCGCTCGGCCCGTCCGCAGCGGCGCAGCATTTGCGCGCGAGTACAGAATGGTGGCACGCTCACCTCGTTCAGCGTGGACTTGTGGTCCTCGCGCGCCGCGATCCCGTTCTGGCGCCGCCACCGCATCCGCGCGCGCTCGCGGACACTGCTGGTTCGACCGAGTGCGGCCTGTGCTCTGCGGCTGCGCTGCTACATCGGAAGGCACGGGGACCTCGCTCGCTCGCAGCGCCGTGTCGACCTCACAGCTCGTGGCGCGAGTACGGGGTCGTGCCTCCCGCGGTTCGCCTCGGTCAGCGCACGGTTCAGCGCAGCGCTCGACACTGCACAGCAAGGCGGAGACGGCGACACCGCGTGCCGCGTACGCACAGCGATCCGCGGATTCGCGGGCGCGTCTGCGAGCGCGGCATGCGAGCTCTGGTCCGTTGCTAGTACGAGGAGGTGGAATGTCAGGATGAGTGCTGCAAGTACGAGTGAGTAGTGACAAAGATGAGTGATTAGCATCGCGCACCGGTAAGAGTGCATGAGGGGTGAGGATGAGGGAGGAGAGGTGCGGCCCGAGTGCGTGGGGAGTTAAATACTGCGGGGCGGGGCCCACGTTACGCGGACAAGTCGAGCGTGGGCGGGAGGGAGGTCGTTTGACGCGTCGGCGTCGGCGTCGGTGCTGAACGCGGAGCTGGGGTCGAGGTCGGAGGCGATGCTCGCGATGGCGTGCGAAGGCACGGCGCGCGCAGTAGCTGCAGACATGCATACGACGCAAGCGCAGATCTGGAAGCATCGTCAGCGCCGAACTCGTGAAGTGAGTGGCGGGCATACCCCACATTCCTTCCCTCGTACCTCCTCAGCCCCCTCTACGACTCAGCGACGAGTACAGCCGCAGACGCGCCCGCGACGAAAGGGCAGATCTACCCCCAGCGTCACCTCGCTGCTTGGGAAGAGAGTAGCGGCGTGCCATGTTCGCGGCTTCAGACAAGACAAGCACGGTCCTCTGCGCACCAGCGTGCCCGGGAGAGCACGCGTACCCGGACGCCATCTCCACATCTACAGCCGCAGCTCTGCCAGGAGCGACAGCGCCCGTTCGCGAGGGAACGGCGCACGTACCGCACCCGCCGCCGCCGACGACTGCAGACGGCGAAGCGCGATGCTCTGCACACGGCATCAGTGCAGATCTCGTGAAGAATGGCGTGCGTACTCGCTTCCCGCCCTGAATCCCACCCCGCTCCCATCCCGCCGTCGCGCATCGGTCGCAGAGATACAGCGCAGTGCCGTCTTTCCCGCCCCCACCGACGGCGACACGCCCTCCCGTGCGCGTGCTCTACGGCCCCGACCGACGTGAAGGGCAGCTCTTTCCCAATGTGGGCGCGCGCGGGGCCTGGACGATCTGGAGCGCGCGCGACGCTAGCTTGGAGTGCCTTAGCGCACCGCAGACGACGAGCGCGGCCCACGTCGCTTTCCCGCTGCTGGCAAGGGCGTACTAGTACGACTACGATCGCGCTTCGACCGACTGCGACGAGCGGAGGGCCATGGTGAACAGGGCGGGCGGGCGGGGTGGGGTTGGATGGAGTTGCAGGAGGGGCCGAGGAGGAGTGTGTGCGCGCTGGCGCTGGCGGGAGAGTGATGCTCCGTGCGCGGAGTGCTGCATGTCGCGCGGGAGTGGGCCTCGGCGCGCTGGGTGCGTAGAGGATCGGCGCGCTGGCGTCGGGGAGCGGGGCCGGCGTTGTGGGGAAGAGAAGCGCGCACGGCGTACGCACCAAGTCCTCATTTTCGCTTGCCCGAGGCGTAGGGCGTGGAGGAATTTCTGAGGTGCTGATAAGTAGATCCAGATTGTCGCAGAACGTAACGTTGAGCCGATTGATCGAAACGCGATCTGATTGATCCGAAATCTAGCAACTCATCCCAACTTCTACTCCAACGTGCTCGTTCCTTCTCATGCATCATGCCCCATTCTGTGCACCTCTGCCTGCGTCTCTGCCGACAATTGCAATCCACTGAGTGCCGAACGCAATGGGCTCCGAGTCCTGCACGCCGCTCCCAAAGGCTTCTTTTCCGAGTCGTCGAGCCTGGATCTTATTCTATACATCAATCTGGGTGTTAGGAGAATAGCGCGTCGAACCTTTTATTTCCTCAAGTTCTTTTTAGAACATCGAGTTCATGCGCAGCATACATATTGGTGTACGGTCGAGTTCACTGGGATTTGCATCCACACCCCGCGGACACCGCTCCAAACCCTCAACTACCCACATTTGGCCGGGCCTCAATCTAAGCACGTATGATACTTATTCACCACATCTATCCTGAATGCACGGCCTCGTAGATCAATGCAGATCGCTCTCGTCCTATTCCGGGAGAAAACTTAGTCTTCCGAGAGAAACGCGGGTTCGACCCCCGCCGAAGCCCTGACTGCTTCCACTCTCTTTTTATTTCGATGATTCCTTGGTGGGACGTGGACTTCGTCGCCGCAATGGTGTTTTAACTTGCTGTGCCGTTGCGGCCCTCTCTAATTGCGGACATCTCTTCAAATATTGAACCATCCGCCGCCGGGCCTAAATCTAGGTATGCAGTGATTCAACCATCTTCATCCTCACTGCCCATGCCCGGCCAGGGGGCCTAAGTCTAGCGTGTTTATTCAAGGCGCAACGTTGATGCTCAAGGCTTCGTAGATCAATACAGAGCCACAGATAGGCACGGGCCGGCAGATCTAGGAGCAGCGATTCTGCGAAGAGAATGGGCGCGTACCTTAGACATCCCCTCCGTCCCTCCGCAGTGCCCAGGCCAGCAGACAAGCCAAGCGTGATAGTCTGCGCCGCGCGTCAGCCACGATCTGCGGACAGAGCGGTGCGCGTACTGGTACCCCCACAGCTGCAGAAACTGTGAGCGACAGCATGGCAATGCAACAGCGCACGTACCATACACCTCCGCTGCCTCCTTGTCTTCCGCCTCGCTCGCCAGCGGCAGAGAAGACCAGCGCGATTCGAGCGCGATGATCTGCGCACGGCGTCAGCGCAGATCTAGTGACGAGAGCGGAGCACGTACCCTCGCCCTCGTCCTCGACCTTGACGTCCGTCTCCTCACTGCCTGGATGGACAGCCCCAGCCCGCACCCGCGCCCGCTCGTCGACACGCACATGGATAACCACATCACGACCCCGGTCAATGACAGAGTGAATCGGAATTGCGACCTGCACTGCGCCGATCGTCGCAAGCAAGCCGCGCGCGCACGCGACACCCCGGTCGGCGCCCGTTCGCCTACCTCCCGCCCGCCCCTCATCGCCTCCCATCCCGCCGCCGCACGCCGGCGTCAAGAATGCAGCACCATGCGCTCGCTGCTTTCATTCCGTCCCCGACAGAGCGGTCATAGATGCAGCATTGTACGCTGCACGGGGACGGCGGCCTGGAGAGTGGGCGTGGGAGGGGGGACTGGCGGCGTGGAGTGTTCCCACCTCAGCGCTGGGGGTGGTGTCAAAAGTCGGCGAGGAGCGTGTGCGCCGTGGAAGAACTAGAGCCGGGGAGTCCGAGTCGCGGTCCTAGCATGTCCTCCTCAGCGCGCATTACCCGGTAAAGGGGGACGCACTGTAGCTCGAGGGCGGGATCAGACTAACGCGTCGCGGTGGCGTGGCGCAGTGTATCGCATATCAATCGATGGTTTCGGTGAAGCCTGCGTCGTGTCGAGTCACGGCGAGCACGACGTCTCAAAGGGACATCCGAAGTCGAGCGCAGTCATTTGGTTTCCCGAGCCGCATCATACGTGGAGGACTTGCAGAGGAAGAGTAGGCAATGGGCGCCGCTTCAGCAGATGGATCCAGATTCTCCAAGTGGCATGTGCTGTAAAACCGACTGGCAGAACCAAGGGGGAACGAAAATGCGAATTTCTCAACCTTATCTTCGAAGCCCTGTTGGAAATTTCTTATCTTCGAAGCCAGAACGTTGGGATGGCAGCCGATTGATCCGAACTTGACAATCCGACTGATCCGAAATCCTGCTTTCTCCCAACTGCTCATTCCTTCTCTTTCTCGCTGTAGGCACCTCTGTCTGTCTCACCGCCAACAACAGCACTCCCCCGACTTCCTCAATCTACTCCTTTTTGCCTTTCTTGCTGAACTGTCCTTCCAATTGACTCCTGCGCGCCGCTCCAAGAACTTCCTACTGTCCTCTGATCAATTTCTCCATGGGCCCACCTCTCCTCTCAAGGCTTCGTGGATCAAGGTAGATCATACTCATCTTATGAACACTCGGTGATGTTAAATGAGAGAAACGCGGGTTCGACTCCCGCCGAAGCTGTGGCGGACTTGGTTTTCATGATGCTGATCACCACGTAGTTGGTCTGGCATCACGAGAAGACAGAGTCGACGCGATGAGGGGGTGAAGAATATGCACTGTTATCGGCCTGCCCGACATGGAGGAACACCGTCGAGGATGATGTCGTTGGGATGGGTGTTCGGGGGACTCCCTTTCTCTAACCAACGTACTTCATCTGTGAAGCCAGTCGGAGAGCAGCCCCGATACGACGGCCCGACCTAGAGCGTTGCCAGATTCGAGGATCAGTGTCGGAGGCGGCGTTAACTAGACTCCGACATCGCGAGCATTTGGTGAGTCAAATGACATAGATTAAAAAATCTGAAACACTTTGTGCAGGTCACCTGAAACGACCCGAATGACACCAAGCAATATCGGCGACGGGGTGTCAAAAGACCAGACGAGTCTGCCCAGCTATTGCCTTGAGCTAGGGCTGGCTAGAAAAGGAGGACGCCCGGCTTTTTGTTTCCTAACTTGCATTCTCGGTGAGACAATCATCGACAAGTTTTTAGCAGCGTCAGAGCCCTAAGCTCCCTATCTAGGTAGCATACACCCCAAACCCGACGGCCGTAGTTCTTCGATGCGTTGCGCGGGAGAGTTGGGCAAGTGGATGATCGTGAGTAGTAAGGAAGAATTTCGCTCAGGAGAACAAAAGGACATTAGGCGGTGTTTAAAGTGCCCGAGTCGCGGTCGGCTGGGAGGAGAAAATTCCCAATTTCACGCGGGGATTTGAGAATCGAATTCCTTGGCCTCCCAGTGCAGACGGATAACCCCAAGAAAGCCGATGATAGCAGGGGCCAGGGTGTACAATTTAACATAGAAATCACGACATCGCCATCAGGATAAAATCGTGCCAAGATTCCGGGAACACCGACAACGCGAAGGACCAAAGTCACGGAACGGCCGGGGTTCATCTATGTGGTGCAGCTTGGGATTGCAATGAACGGGCGTGTCGGAGACGTACAGACTGCAGACTTGAGAGATATGAATGGCGGTCGAAAAGAGAGTTGTCAGAGATTAGGTCAACTTTGGCGGGGTTTAGATTCCTCGCCAATCTCTGTTCGGAAGTGTTCCGTTTGGCTTCCGTATATACAGTTTCGATACTGTATGCGGCCATATTTTCAACGAGCATTACGGTATACGGTACGGCACATACCGTACCGTCGGAGGGCGGGGTTAGAGGTGCGACGGTACGGGTGCCGAATTACGGTTCGGCTCAGCAGCCCTACTTCCAGTTCTCCATCCTCTTGCGTTTCTCAGGATTTCGGGACGTAATGTAAATGCCGATCAAGAGGCGTAAACAGGGTTCTTATTAGCCGAGTTATGTAAATATGGATCCGCCGAAGTGACGGGGTGCTCGCGCAGAGACTCAGCACTGCCACGGTCTAGACCTCCAATTTCCTTATTGAGTCACATCTAAGTTCTGGCCCGTTCACCTCAAAAGGGGCACCATTCGAGTCAGCTAAGGAATCCGCATCGAGTGACACTAACCACGTCGTTATATCTCCCGAATTGAGCGAGTTGGAAGCCCTTATTTTTCCTCGAGGTCTGTCAGCCACCCACGTTTTTTGTTGCACTTGTTTGTTGCATGTCCCAGCTCTCTGCCTAGTCACGTGCAAAGAGAAGAACTGCGCTCGCAATTATCCAATCGGCGAGTATTCCCACTGAAATGGCCGCAATAGTTCTCATTTTAGCTCATTTTAGCCATAATCTAACATCTAGGCTGCAATGCGCGCTGTTTGTTGGCTGTTGGCACAGAAAATCATGTTCAAACGCTCCCCTGACTCGTAACCAGTCTGCCTACGGAACACAACAAATGCGGAGCACTGTTGCCGTAGGCAGCCTGGAATGACACACCACGAGGAGCAGCTCAAGCTACTTCCATGCGCCAGATCCCGTAATGCCGCTGCAGCGAGGGCTCGTACCTGGAGGTAATGTTTTACAAAGGGCAATCAACAACTGATTCCGGGGTGTGTGGAAGTGGTTTTCAAGACTCGGCAGAGCGTGTGGGTGCAGAGATGGTGGTTGAAGAGAGAAAGAAGTGGAGTCACAAGCGTGATGTCACCGTTGACATCACGCTCCACTCAAGTCCGATGTGAACGGACCTCGTGTTAAGAGGACTGTAACCCGTTACCTTACCCGCTGCTGAGTGCTCAGAGAGCGCCCAGATGGGACGGGTATGGGGAAGAGCCATTGGGATGCTATTTACCCTATATTCCTAAATTTGATGATTTTCACTTGGTTTCTCAATGACCAGCTTCACGGTCTTTGGCTGTGAAATCCATGCACACTCCAATGAACCCGAAAAGTACCTGAATCAACCACATGACATGGAAAGTGCATGAAAAAGTTTTTATGAGTTTTGTGCATGAATCTTGGATTCCATGGACCTGACCCATGAATTTCATGAGCTTTGACACTCACAGTGTTCTGCTTGAATTCCATCCAGAATGGACAGTCGAACTGAGAACGAGGCCTCCTCTTGCCGATGCAACCGAGAGATTCGGATTTGAAGGTCCGCTCCGGCCAGAGCGAATCAGTAGCCTTTGAACAAGTAAGGGTTATAATATTCCGCTACAGATTACAATCATTACCATATGAATTTTCGAATACGCCGCTGTAAAGCAAAGCACCCACAAACTGTGAATTTCAAATGAATTCAACATCCATTCAGCACTCGGATATTTCCGGGCAGGCGCAAACAGGGCTTCCCACATAGACCCAGGTGAGATGAGTTGGGTGACAATGCTTGGTAAGGTACAGGTTTATTCGCGCCATCTATGGACACGATTCTAGAATGAACGAAGGTACTTGAACTCAAAAGAAGTACTCGCCGCGTCCGAGACGCGCGCCGGGGAGTCGCGCAAATTCCCTTTCGGGGAATCTAATTGGACCAATCGAACGGTTCCTCATGTCCTGGGCTTGGCATTTTTGAAACCCCAGATCCAAGGCCAGAACAGCAGCCATCAAAACATTTCAAACTCCCGGCCCGCTCAGTCTGCCTACGGCAACAGCGCTCGCCACATTTACAAGACTGGTTCCCAGTCTACGCTCCCCTTCCACCTTCAGCTGGGCAAAAAAAAATCGCCGGGGTTTTTTTCCCCTGTTTTTAGACCCAATTCCGAAAAGTGAAACATACCCTATGAGGCTATGTCACGGCTTCTTCCGGCGAAGACCTTAGCTTCGCCGGCGGGGGACCTCTTCGTTACGAAGCTGAGTAACGTGTAAGAGGTCCCCCGCCGGAAGAAGCCGAGACTCAGCTATAATTCACTTTTCCGACCCTGTGTAGCAAATTTTAGTACTTACAGGGTACCTCTTGTCAGTAACATCCCAGACCCACCTATCGAACCCCTCTCCCTTGCGCCATGGCCTTTTCAAGGATTCCTCGCGCATCCTCCTAGGACCCCCGTTTATACCTTTAGAGGTCGTATCCCTGGTTCGGACAAAATTTTGCGAAAATTTCGGTCCCAAAAAACCCCAAAGTGACCGCTTTGTGAAAAGAACGATTTTGCACTCCTCAAAAAGCGTGGGAAAAATAAATTAGTTCGGACAAACGTCCTGGGGAGGGTGATTTTCTGGATACGACCTCCAAAGGTATAAACGGGGGTCCTATCCTCCTCTACATTCAGTCTTTAGTACGTAATCGACACAGAAGTGCACGCGCCAGTTTATTGACCGAATGGCAAAGCTCTCAGATCATGTTGGGGGTGCTAACAGTAGGCTTAGCTCTGACCATCGTCGTGCTCGGTCTGTATGCATACGCGGCATGGCATCCCACATCAAGAAAATATCTCGACCGGGTCAGCTTCCGACTGCTGGTATACGCTCTTTTGGCACAGTAAGGTCTGTTCTACTACCCACTACGCCACTCATCGCTCCCAGTCTCGTTTTCGGGATAACCTTCCTCATTTGCATGCTCAATGCGTACCCTGGCTGGAGATGCAATCTCGTGTCGTTCATATGCAACGTGCGTTCAGCTGCTTATCTGCGACACTATCCTAACACACAACAGCTGAGCCTCATGTTCTCAGCTGGCATGTTCTTCTGCATGGCACTCAATCTTCCGTACGCCCCTCAGTTCCGCTTGTCCCTCTCTGCACTGAAGTGTTTCCAGCCTCGTACTAGTGTACGGAGTCAACGGGCAGCGCATGGAAAAATACTACATTCTCGGCACGTCGGTGGTCTGCAGTGCCTGCGCCATGTCCGCATACGCATCTGGCAGTCTCGGGTGAGCCGACGATCTCGGGTTCGCGGTAGTAGTCAGCTAATCTCGGGCTCAGGTGGAACACGTTCAGCCAGGTGTGTTGGTACCGCAGCGATGATCCAGCTACCATGCTCCGCTGGATCATCGGAACACGCACATTCTGGATCCTCCTCGTTTCAGTGGGGGAAGTCATCGCGTTTCTGACCATCATGGGATACATAATCGCCTACCAAGTACGTCCGTTTGCCCACGCCATATTTGTCTTCTCACGTACATTCCACAGCTCGTCACGCGCTGTTCTACACCACAAACACAGCAGAGCTCCGCGTCGGAAAACTTACACACGACGGGATTGACGCTTGTCATGTTCCGCAACATAATCCTGCGAATCGGTACGTGCGCCCACGGGCATGAGCGACGAGAATTAAGACATGCCCAGGCCTGTATCCCCTCGTGTCATGTCTGCTCAACATATCCACAGCCTTGCTGAACGTGTATCTAGTAAAGCATCCAGAATTGACAGACCTCGTGCGTTGACCTTTCGTCCACAAATTAAAACGCCCAACAATCCGCCCACAGACAGGGCGACTATCTGTCGTAGGTATGTCCCCCTCCGCAACTCTCCAACCCCCTATTCTGACTTACCTCGTCCCAGATGTCGTGCTATTTTCCGCACGCCCGCTGATCTACGGGATTCTGGCTGCGACTGATCCGGTGTGCCCCCCTTTTTGCTCTGACCCCAAACCCCGCCTGAATCCCCGCCAAAAGTCGTTCCTCCGTG